CCCCCGTAGCTGTTGGCGCAGTTCCCGCTGTGCTGGTCCTGGTCCTTGTCAGCTGTGCTGAACTTCATGTTGTCGTGGATGCCCCCGTACCTGGAGTGATAGCTGGTCAGATAGTCCGTCCCGCTGCCCAGGACCCCCGTAGCTGTTGGCGCAGTTCCCGCTGTGCTGGTCCTGGTCCTTGTCAGCTGTGCTGAACTTCATGTTGTCGTGGATGCCCCCGTACCTGGAGTGATAGCTGGTCAGATAGTCCGTCCCGCTGCCCAGGAACCGGCCCAGCCTCAGCGGGTACCCACTAGCCTCGCTCTCCACGCTGAAGATGTCGTACTCGGCGTAATGGGTGACGTTGGCTTTATTCCGCACGATGAAGCGGACCTTGTAGATGCCCTGCTGCGTCAGCAGGTGCAGGTACTCGGTGCCCAGCCAGTGATCACCCTGCACGTCCCCGAAGCCGTACTTGTAGGTGGTCCAGGACTCCTTCCATGTGATTTCGGTGGTGTAAGTGTTTCTCTGGACAACAGTCCAGCCCTTGCCTTCGGTGTCCATGTCGCACCACACCACCCGCGGGGGTGATCCTGCCGGCTGGATGACGTACACCCCGCTGGGGCTGGTCTGGTGAAGGTGGCTGCAGTCTGCGAGGAACCCTGCGGCAGCAGATCAAGCAAGAAATGAGGGACCTGCACCGGAGGATGTGCTGGCAGGTTACTGCGGGGCAGCTGTAGTGATGCTGCTGATGCTGGATCTCACTGGGCACTCTGCAACCAGTGGAACGTGTTGGGGACGCCTCTTATCTGCTGGTGATGAGAGGCCAGAATTGCCCCGCTTTGCGGCTCAGGTGTGAATGCAGAGACCCGCTGCCTCCCTGTGGCTGCCGGCATGGGGACACTTGCACCCAGCGCCTTGCAGCCTGGCTGCGCTCAGCGATGGGGAGCATGGCTGCACCCCAACTTGGCAGCCATCCTCACCACTCCGGGGGCTGGCAGTGGGTACTGCTGGGCCAGCACTGGCGCAGAGGAGAAGCATCGCCACCACTGCGGGTAGGAGGACAAGGTCCCCACGCGCCCGCGGTGGCCCAGCCTGGAGCCCTGGGGAGGAAAGTGCCCATCGCCATCAGGATCCCTGGGCAGCCCCCCCAGCCCCCAGGGGGACCAGGGAAGGCAGAGCCATGAGGTGCAGGCAGGAGCAGGGGGCTCCCGGGGTGGTGGGAGCCGCAGCTTCGGTGCAGGCTCTGGCGCTGCAGGGGTGAAGCAAGGTGAGAAATGGCTTTGTCACCCTCCTGGTCAGCCCCTTCCCTGCACCACGCAGCAACCTGCAGTCACATTTTCTCATGTTTCTCCTAAATGTCGGGGGTTTTTGTGGTTTTTTTTTTTTTTTTCCTACAGATCTAGAGACAAAAGGATATTTTTATGGGAAAGAAGTAAATTTGTGTTAAGGGCGTTCAGAGCAGCTCGTTCAAAGCACTGCAGCTGAGTTTGGTGTATAAAACCTGGTGCTCCAGGTGCAGAGCACACAGTTCACAGGGATGCAGGAAACAACCCAGTGGCAGCAGCAGCAGAGAACTGCAAAGAAATGGCTGGGTGGAAAGGGGGAGGAGTGGGACAGACGCTGGACATTCTCATCAGCTCCTGCTCCCGCGGTCCCCCACTGCTGTCCCTTAGCTGGGTTTGCTACTTGCATCCCCCAGAGCTGCCAAGTGCTGCAGAAAAGGAGCCGTGAGGAAGAGCAGAACTCACCCATCGCTGCGGTGCTGCTGAGCGGATGCCAGGAGCTTGAGCAGTCAGTCCTGCTGCTCTCAACTCCATGCTGGCCTCCGTCCCTTTATACCTGGGCCTCTCCCTGTACACACCTCCTCTGGGTGAGGATCGCAGCTCCTCTGTTTGCACGGACAAAGTTAATCATTGCGTGCCCACCTGGTGGCTTCTCTTTGCTTAAGATTACGGGAAGACACCCTAGAGTTGTTTTTTTTTTCTGAGAAAAAAAAATAGAATGCTCCAAACTTCCCAGATGTGGGGCGTTTATCAATTGCAATATACTGGACCTGCCCAGGAGTTAATTCTTTCTGGGAATCTACCAACTGCTGCAGGGCAATAAAGGAGCTGAAGGAGAGGGGAAAGGCAAACAGAAGAGGAGGAGTGTGACCGCGAAGGATGCAGGGGAGATTTGTATCATCCAGAGATCAAAGAAGGTAAAACCTATGGGCAATGTTTTGTCAATGCTTACCAGCTCCCAGCATGTCACGACACTCCCGCGATGGCCGAAGGTCTCGGCCTCCTTCCCTGCAGAGACCTGGCAAGAAATCAGCCCCAGAGCTGGACGGCAAACACTTTTTTTTTTGCCCTGGACCCGAGGGCTGAAGGCAGCAGCCTTTCCTGGGGGCCATCCCTGACCCCTAGATACTTACAGCCACTCTGAGCCAAAATAGGCTGGGGGGGTGTGTCTATGCAGTACCCCTTCCCCTACGCTTCCCTTCCTTAGCCCATATGTCTTGGTGAGAAAAAACAGGCTCAGGAAGGCTCTGCTGACCTCCTGCTCTTCCCCACTGCGTGTGGGGTGGGCATCGCCCCAGCAGCCTGGGTGCTGTCCAGGAGTGCATCTCGAAGACCCTCGTGGGCAGCTCATCAAGCAGCGGGGACAGCTGTTGGGACCACATCTGTCAGGGGAGGTGTAACTGGTTTCACGCGTTACCGCAGGGTGTTTCGGCAAACCTTCAGGGCTGGGTTGCAGTCCCCTCCCTGTTCCCCTTCTTCTCTCAATCCCTCCTTTCAGACAGTGCCTTGGGAGGCAGCAGCAGGTCCTCACCCACCACCTGCCGGACCCGTGTTGTGGCAGTCCTGTTGGGCCAGTCGGTGCTCCCGTGTGTCACCAGCGGTGGGTCTATGTCTGACAGTACACCCTGTCTTCTAGAAGGTGATGCTCCCATCGGCAGCAGGTTCCCCCGGGGGAGTGAGGGCAGGGGAGAAGCGAGGGGGCGGATGCCTGTCTGCAACTGCACGGGAGGCTTGGTCCCCTCCTCTGCCTCTTCTCCTTTGCTCCATAATATCAGCCCCACTTGCCACCTCTGCGTGCCTCAGCTGGGCTCGCTGCTCCAAGGTTGCCCGTGCCCCATCGCCGCTCCTCCAAGGGCCGGCAGAGCGGGGAGGGCTCACCACGGGGTCCTCGCCGCAGGGACCTCTTTTACAGCCATCAAGGGAGGGTGGCAGGAGGCCCCGAAGGGTCAGAGCAGGCAGGGCCACTCCAGTGCTCACAGGCAGTGACAGACTGGGATGTCAGCCACAGCTGGCACCTCGGCTCCGGTGCTTGATGCCCTGGCGGGGTGTGAGGAGCCAGCCCTGCTCCTGCCCGGCTTGCAGGGGCTGGCTGAAAGGGCTGGGAAGACCCTGTTCGTCTTGTTGAAATTTGGCTGCCAGGAATCTATCCAAGACAAATGCTACAGCCCCAGGGGTATCTACCAAGGGAATTTGGGAAGCTCTTGGAAAAAGAAAGGTGCTTCATTAAAAGGAAACGGCTGAGGAGCAGTCTTGGATCAGGTCTAAGATACTCATTGCTGTCCAACAGCACGACAGATATTACTGCAACGTGGAGTTGGCAAGAATCCTTTTTTCTGTGAATACACGTTAAATTTGGAGCTGGTAATTTTACAAGGGGCTGGTGTAGGGCAGGGGAAGACGCGTCCTTTGGTGAAAAATGTCCCCCTTGCTGTACTGAAAGGAGAGTTGTTTCGTCTTGGAGTAACCCAGCGCAAGGGCTGGGCAGGGTGCAGCGAGGCGCTGGCACCGTGGCAGGGTGTGCTGGCGCTGGGCCCTTCCCCCCCCCCTGCCGGTCTCCTGGAGGACAGCAGAGGTGGCAATGCCACCCGGGGATGCAGGCCCTGGGGATGATGGCAGCGTGGGGCCGAGCAGCCAGCACCAGCCTTGTGGCAGCACAGCCCGTGCAGGTCCCTGGAGGTGCGGCGGAGCATCCTGGGGCTGGTGCAGGGAGAGCAGCTGCTGGGATCAAACCAGCAATGAATACCTCACCGCAGTCCTAGACCGGTGTCCCTGAGCTATCAGCCAGCATCCCTGGGCTATGCCACTGCCCTCCTCAGCGCTCCCCTCCCATTCCTGTGCCATTTGCAAGGCTGACTGTTAAGAATTTATTCCACTTAACCCACAGCCACCTCGTTAATTGAGTCTGCAGCCAGCTCTGTGATGAGGAGAGCCACTCCCCACGTGACCCAGAGCTGTGAAGTCAGAGCTAAACCTTCCAGCAGACCCTCGGCTTCAGCGCCAGCCCCGGACCCCTCGTGAGGGCTGCGGGACCTGCCCCAACCAGCAGCAGCACCTCCACACGAGTGGCTGCCCCACAGGATGGGTTCACTGCTGGAGGGCTGGTACCTAGCCAAGCAGTTGCATTGCTTTGAGGTCCCTTTACTGCCCTGGTGTGCATGAGAACCAGGGTGCAGTGTCAGAGAGCGTGGCTCCCCCTCGGCTGATGCACCATACTAGGGTAGGCACACCCTCAAGGGTGTCTAACAGAGATCTCCAGCACAGCCCAGGTCTCAGGATGTCCCCACAGGGCTTGGCATCGAATCTCCTAAGCAGTACCAACCTCAAGAAGAATCCTTATCGAGGGCATTTGTCAGTCTGGTGGAATTCTGCACGAACATCAGGTGCTGTTTGCTGAGGTATCACAGAAGAGCAACAGCTGGTGCCTGAGCAGAGGGCAAACAAACCATAAATTTCCAGCCCCGATGACAACCGGAGGATGAGTGTTGTAGTTTGGGTCAGCTGGCCCCACCTCACCTGCCGAGCCCTATATAAGAGCAGGGTTGGCCGCCCTGCCACCAGGCCAAACCTGCTGTGTCCCGCTCCGCAGGGTCCCCGCAGAGACGGCATGGGTGAGTGTGGGATGGG